TATATATATATATATATATATAGTAATAATTATGCATTTCTTTAATGTTTGCAAAATGTAATCTTATCCCTTAACTGCACCTGCCCGGGTATTTTTTGCAAAGTGAATTTGTACCACATTCGCTCAGCTAAGAGTAAATTCCCTTCAAAAGTCAGCAGCAACTAAATAAATGAACCCCCCAAGTCTCTACAGAAAAACCTCCACTCTGCAGACAATATTGAATGCATGGTAAGCTAACACATATATTCATTTTTACAAATTGGCTGTACATACTCTTTAATGAACCGTATATATTTCTTACTAAAATAAAAAAATCATAAATCAGGTAGTTGTATAAAATGAGGGAAGTTTTCCCCCTCTTTTAGGACTTTTCATCCATCTACCCTAAACAACGATATAGGCTTTCATACATTTCACATAGCCGCCCGTCGCGTCCATACGTAATGGGCGTCGCTATACAATTACGTCAGGCTAGTGACCGCACGATTCTTTCCTGCCATCCACAATATGGCGGGGAGGGGCGGGCGATACACGCCCTGCACCCCATGCTCTGTCCGCGCAGGCGCAGATCGGCACTGGGTTCTAGCACCGTTTCCTCTGTCAGGGCCGCGTCTGAGGAGACAACTGAGCGGAGCGGAGCGAAGGCCTTTCTAGAATTGTGTGAGCTAGCGGCGGGTTCTAGTCGCGGGGGGTTTGGACATTATATGTGTATTTCCATCCAGCACCCTATTCATTATACATCTGATAATTATCCCCTGCTTGGTACTTACAAGCTGCAGCCTGCACACCCATTTTTTTGTACTGTTCTCCCCTGAACAGGAATTGCCTGCACGCCCCTTGCCATAGGAAGACCCCCGTATCTTGAAACATATTGCCTGACTTCCATTTATTGTAGTCCCACATTTCCCCTGCACCCCCAGGCTACAGGCTTCTTTGGTGTCAGCCCACCCTTCCTGTGTGACCCCAGATCTGCCTGCACCCCTTTCCCTGCCTGACACATCGCTCTGGTTCCATGGGACACCCCGGACAGCTCTGCGTCCAGGTAATTGTATGTGTTGTCTGTGTGCCTTCCATTGTATGACAAGTGCTGGATGTGTCTTCAATGCATCAGCCTGCCCTACTTCCTCTGCCAGCATAATAACTGTAAACATAATAACTGGATATTGTATCCTTGCAAATAAGAGTGACTATTGAATGGGCTAAAGCTTGGTCGTACGCTGTTGTAATATTGCCCATTTCCTGCCAAAAAGTTTGAGTCGTGGCTGGCCCTGATGGACGCCCAGCGCCCACCCCCCACTCCACAAAAGTCAAATCATAAATTTACTTTTCCATATAGCCGATCCAATGCAGGCGCTGTTTGTGTATTTAGCAGCCGATGGGGCCGAGGTTGCTGAATACAATAGCCATCAGTGGGGATTATCAGTGTGGTTGGAAGGACCCATGGGTTTCCCTTGCTGAGCATGTATGGGCAGCTTTACCTTATCCTTGCTGCCTCTGTTATTGCAGCAGTGAACATTAATCAGAGCAAGGGCTGGCCTGGCTTTTTGTAGTGTAGTCTCTTTGATCTTCTGTATTGTAATAGGACATAAGCTCAGTTTACAAAGCTTTAACACAAAGAATCTTTATTTTTTCCCTGTGTAATTTTTAGAAATCATTGGACTCTGCTGAAAATGGCTGTCACTTTTTGTTGGACAGAAAGATCCTTGGTGTGTTAGCGTTGTAATTTTTGTCGGAGGATTATAGCTAAATCTACTGTACCAAATACATTCAGCCAGATAATCTAAATTGGTGGTCATTGAGGAATGTGAGCTGTGACAGGTGACCTCTTATTTCAGCACATTGCATGCCAAATAAACAATGATGTCACAGTGTATAGAGCTTATTCAGTGCACAGTAGAATGTGTAACTGTCTTGTGCCGTCATCCTCTTTGAACACTACTGCACTCCTCCATTGCTCTAGCTATCGTTAAACTCATTTTCTGAGCCATTATTTATTTGGGGCCGATTGTGCAAAGGTTCTCACTTGGGATTTTTTTGTTTCAGTTGGTGAACTAGTCACATTGTTCTTTTCAAACCCTGCAGATTGAACTCCTAAAATCCAAATATATTTGGCGCACTGACAGTAGTTTGTGACCCATTGTCCTTAAAGCTGAACTCCTGGGTTAAAGGAAAAGAAAATACCCTTGCAGTGGAGCTTCCCCCACACAGCAAGGGTAACATTCTCATTTTTGCCTAGGGTACCAGGGAAAAGGATTTCCCAATCCCTCGGTCCCATAGGCTCCCTCTACGCTATGGCACTTAGGCTTCTTCTCTAAGGTGGTCCGGTCCGTGCTGGCAGCCACACTTTGATGCCATGAAGCATCAAAGCGGGGGCAATAGCACTGCATTGTATGTTAGGATGGCAAGGGCCTGTCTGGAGCATCAGGGAGAGGAAAGCACTGGCTGCTTGTGGAGCCAGGGATTAGGTAAGTACAAGTCCCTTTTCTTGATTCTACAGGAGACAGGCCAGTACGGATGGGGCTATATGGTGGTACTGTCAGGTGACTTGGTCACTGGCTATAGCAGTCTGGAGCCTATATAACCTCTTCCACTACTGCAGATCCTCTGTTTTTTTTCAGTGGTAGGAAGTGGACATGTTCTTTCTCCTTATGGCGAAGGTTTTTTTTTACTTTGACTGCTCACGGCCTTCGTTGGCAAGGATGCAGTATCCGGACCAGTACCCCACGGCTGTAGCTTCGGGGGGGGGGCCTTACCCGGACCCCGCTAGCACAACATGAGAAGATACGGGGCTGGCCTCTAATATTGCTATGGGCACGGGATCCTGTGTTGGCACAATTTGTGCAGCGCATTGGGTTAGCTACAGGGTGCTTTACAACCACCGGGTGCTTGTGGAGCCAGGGGTTAGGTATGAAGTCCCTTTTCCTGGTACCATAGGCAAGTATGAGCATGTATCCCTTGCAGTGTGAGGAGAAGCCCCAATCCAAGGGTATTTTTTCTTTTCCCCCAGAGTTCTTCTTTAATGCAAAACCTTCATATATTTTCTCTCTGAGCATTCTACGTAAGAGACATGTGTTGTATACATGTACATCTGCTGAAAAAGCTGTGTGAAGGTTTGTACTCCGTGGGTTGTAGTGGACTTGTCAGTAGTACTTTGGCCAGGTTTTCTCTTCAGTTGGTGACAGACTAGATACATCATATACTGACTGTGTTTGTGTCAGCCTGCAGTGTGGAGATGGCATTTTAAGTAAGTTATTTTCAATGACTGACAAAAGAAAATGCCTTGCACTTTGGCTTTGAGGGCTTGTTGTGACTGGTTTATTTTGCCCCGGTGAGGTCTTCTACGCTTAATGTGTTTTCAATGATTAGCTTCATGTACGCAAGAGGATTACAGAGGACTTGTCACATTCTCCCTTTCATTTTCTAACCTGCACTACAACCATTTCAGGGAGAATCTTCATTCTAGCTATGATAACATCATTAATGGAGCTTTTTGCTGCAGTCAAATTGGACTTTGGTCATCTCCCTGTATATACAGTTTGTCTCCCAGACATCACCTTCAATGTAGGTATCCTGGCACGGATTTTGTTAGCGCTGACAACGTTCATACAATGTCATATGTTGGTTGGTTGGGTGGGGGGTGAGAAATTATCTAATTTTGAGCAAAATTTCTTGCTACAGGACCCTGAGGTGGCTTTTCTTTTGTCTTGGTGTGATGCTTTCTACATTGAGTATACATTGTGAAAGGTTTAACACTGCTTTTTAATTAATTTAAAGTATTGATCGTTTTCAGAAATTTCCCAGCATGTTGCAGGATCTTTGCATACATTAATGTTCAAAATGCTAAAAATAATTAATTTTTCGCTTGATTGTTGACCCCCCTGCACGGTTGGATTCTTGTGAATCGCTTGCTTATAGTCGGTGTGTGGCCAGGCTTGTTCGTGAATGAGGTGCAATTTCTATGTTCTCTACATTTGTAATGTCGCATAGTTTGTACGAGTTGAACTACAAGTATTCATTCTGTCAAAATAACATAAGGCTTTTTCTAGCTGTATTAAAATAGAACAATGATGAATAGTTTGATGCAAAATGTCCGTGTAATGCAAGTGCATTATAATATTCTTTACAAAACTCTTGAGAAATTATCTTTTGAGAGTGTCCCCATAACTCTCTCATGAAGCAAGCCCTCCTTACCATCTTGTCTTGAATTGTATTGTAACTGTAATGTCTTCCTTATATTGTAAAGCGCTGCGCAAACTGTTGGCGCTATATAAATACTATGTAATAATAATGAAGCACATGGAGACTTTTGTTGCCATTCCTCAGTCTAAGTCCCCAATTTACACACTGAAAGTTTTGACGCTGAAAGCTATGCGCGACAGAACTCAACATCTCTCTTTTAGAAATCCAGTGAATTTCAATGGTTTCTGTTCACACCTAAGAGTTTTGTCGCAAGCTGTGAAATGCCGAACGCTGGAAAAAAGTACATGAGATTTTTTTTGGCAGATTACAGTGCGCTTGGCCCCCTAGACTTCAATGGAAACGTGCAATACAAGCGTTTTGCACATTTCTGTTCCCGTGCGGCTGATCTCATTGCGTCCGGAGGGCGTGGCTACGGTGCCATTCACTTCAATGGACTGCCATGTCCCCTCCTACCCCACAACATAGTGAGCCAGCCACAATGCGATGCAGTGTGTTCTGGCCAGAATTGGGCCGGAACACACTGCGTCTGGTGTGAACAAGGCCGTAGAGAAGCCAAGATGTTTTTTAAAATTTCTTTATTTTTCTTTCAATACTGTTGGTAAGCCACATAGGCTACATTCGCACTAGGTGTGATTGGATGCGTTTATATGCATTTTAAAATGGATATATATATA